GAAAGTGCCACTTCCTAGGAACTTAGTGTTCAACTGGGGGCAGGAAGACTTAACCCCTCAACAGTTCCATCTGGCCTCCCCAAAGAGCCAGGCTCCTGTTTCCTAGTTTGGTGGAGAGAGTCCAGGCTTCAAAGACTCATCAGTCCCTCTCTATAGGTGATGCTTGGCTCAGAGGTGGTGCCCAGCAGACCCTGGATGCAGGGGTAGACTGTAATGTGGAAGAATCTCAGGCTGTGCCTCCCAAAAGAGAAGACCCTGTTAGGCTGATGGGCTGACAGATTAGTGTGGTACCCTTTCTACTTTGTACATCTTCAGCTTTGTCTCTGTAGCTCTCCTCTACTCCCTTTGTATACAGCATTTGGTTGAGGATGGCAGGGTGAGTAGCAAGGGATAACAGAAAGGAAACATGTCTACTCTCTAGAGGAAGAAAGTATTTTTTGGAGGGGGCACATGGCTCTGTGGGGTACTCAGCATGAGGAGTCAGGAGTGTGGGGGAGGATAGAGAGCATGAACTGGGCACAAGCTGAGCCCCAGAGCACAGGGGCTGTCTGTGTCCCTTTCTATCCTCCCAAAGCCTTCCTAACTAACCCTTAGGGCCTGGCCTGAGCCTTTCCAGCTCTATTAGCTCTATTACCCCACACCTCCTCTTTGCTCACCCAGACACTACTCTTCCCAGGGCCCTGACTGCCTGCAGCCTTATCCCCCATGCTGCCCCCACTGCATCCACTAGGCTACTGACACCCTAAATGCTAACCATGTCTTCTCCCTGCTCCATATCCTTCAATAACTCCCCACTGCTAACAGGCTCATATTGAACTTTTGAGCATTGCACCCATGGCTCATCATAGTTCAGCCTTGCTGTCCTCTGCACCTAACTTCTCCTTAGTCTCTATGCGAAGACTGTGCCCTGGCTGCGCGAACCAGTGCAGCCCCAGACACACCACACTCGCTCTCATCTTGGATGTTGGTGCATGCTGACCCACTGTAGGATTGACTGTTACTCCTTCACCATCTAGAAAGATTTGACTCATCTTCATGTCTCTTCTCAAGATCTACCTCACTGTGAGGCCTTTCCTGGCACATGAAATGCCACCCAGTGGGGTACACATTTCCATTGTAACTATTATCTGCTTATATTTTGGTTGTTTGCTTTTCCTCCCTGACTCTTAACAGTGAACAACCGAGGGTTGAGACAATGTCTTAATCACCTCGGGACCCTCAGCAATAGCTCTGTGCTGGCCCACATTGGTGTTTGTAAAATGCTTGAATTAATAAGCAAATCAATGTCTAGGATGCCCTGGACTGTCCAGGGAGAGGTGCTCAAGGAGTCTTTCCCACCCTCTCTTCCTTCCCGATGTTCCTTGCACCTCCCCATGGGGCAGAAGGAGACAGGGCTTAGTGCCCACAGTCCAGGGTGCCCACAAAAGGAAACTAGTTGCTAGGCTCCCAAGAAAAGAGCAGAATCTCCAAAAAGCCTATCCCAACCTTCCCTCCCCCCGCCCCATCATTCTTAGATATCCCCCTGGACAGCACTCTACCAAATTCCTGGTATTCAAAGCTGAATCCGGCCTCAGAGCCCAACACACTAAGCCTGTCTCAGGATCTCCTTTTGCTATAGTCGTAAACCTTGGCCAGTTCCAAACTAAGTCAGGTCCTGCTGCTGGCCGGAGTCAGCCAGCAGTGACTGCCCTGCAGCTTGGCCATGTGGTTGCCTCTTCTGGGTAGTGACAGCAGGAAGGCTGATGAAGTCAGGGGTAGTATCTGGGGGTGCAGTGGGGCAGAGGGTAGAGGAGAAAGTCTGACACTGAGATTAAGGCAGGTTGAAATGTTTCCCTTGCTCCGCTTTCATAAATTAATTAGTGAATTTGCCATTCATTCTTTCACTTATTTATTCAATGAACATTTATTGCATGCTTGCCTTGTGCCAGGCACTGTACTAGGTGCTGGGATAGTGAGAAGAGATCTTTGGCAAGAGGGAGAGAAGCAGATGCATAACCAACCACAGTTAGATGAGCTAGAGTGATGCCAATGTTCGTGCTGGATGCCTTGGACTGTCCAGGGAAAGTACAGTTGAGAGAGGTGGAGTTGAGAGAGCCACCATGTCCTGAGGGCCAGCTGCTTGCACTTATGCAGGAGCCAGAACATGCCACACCCACCAGCATGTGCTCTAAAGCCTACCCCCAAAGGCAGCCTCCTCACCTGCATGGCTACCACCCTGGGCAGAGTATTCTCCTCTCAACCTGGAGGCTGCAGTTGCCTTTTAATGAGACTCTCTTTTGCAACACACAACAGCAAAAAGAGGGGGCAGGGAAATGGCGTAGATGATAGAGGCTTTGTTCATGCCTCTTGTGACCAAATCAAAGTTGTGACAGAAACACGAAGCAAACAGCAAGCAAAGTCACCTGGAATCTAGATGAATAGAAGCACTACAACTAGGGAGAGAAATAATTAATCAATCTGCAATGATAGAAGGTAGGAGGGGGCAAAGATGTGAGGCTGCCTGGTCTGGAGAGGCTGAATGGCACAGAGACTACAGCAGCAGCAGCTCGCAGCTGCAGACGCCTGTTAAAGGAGCCGTGTCTGCAAGTGGACTTTCGCGGTGATGGACCTGCTCACTCTGAGCACCAGCGCCAGGTTGGCTGCATGGGGGCACCAGGGACTTACAGGAGACATTGAGTCATCGGAGTAAGGGCTGGAGGCAAGGATCTTTCCTGGGCAGAAGTGCTGGCGGTATCCATTGTTGCTCTGCTGAGCCCTCTCCACCTCCCAGTGTGTAGACGCAGTGCCGCCATACCTGAGACATCCTCAGACTGGATAACAGAGGTTGCTCTGCTAGAGGATTCCCTGAAACTCTGCTTCTTCTAATTTGTGGCCCCACCCAAGCCACATCTAGGTGTGTCCTTGGCTAGTCTGGTTCTCCTTGCTGAACAGCGCCAAGATTCACACTGGTGGCAGCTGGTCTTGGTTTCTGGTGTGGTTTCTTGAGGCACTATAAACACAGCATCTATGGATTGCTTACTGAATCTTAACAGATGTCCCTAGAGGGGCACAGGTTGGGGCTAAACTTGTCCTGCAGCTGAACTCCTCTCAGGACTGTGCCATTGGACACCTACTACACAAAGCCACACTAATAGGACCAGGAGACTTAAGAGCTTTGCTTAGTAAATAGAAATGGATACAGAAATGCAGCCAAAATGGGAAGACAAAGAAGCAGAAACCATATGAGAGAACAGAACAGAGATCCAATAATAATTAAGTCAAGCAATCTAACAGATGCAGAGTTCAAAACGCTGGTATTAAAGATGCTAGGTGAACTTAGGGGAAGTGTAGATGAATTCATGAGAACTTGAATATAGAGATAAAAAACATAAAAATGGAAATAGAAATTATAAAAGAGAACTAGTCAGAAATGAAGAACACATAATCTGAGATGAAGTGGATATTAGAGGGAA